GCATAAAATATACACATATACAAATACAAATATACAAATATACAATTATTCCAATCACACAAAAATCACACAGAAAAAAAAAATATAAATAAATAGATATGACTGTGAATGTTTATACTTTCCCGAGAACACTCCATCCAGCTACTTTGGCAAAGAACAGTGAAGTCATTATTGTTAGTGTGTGTGTATATGAGAAATCAGTGATGAGTTTTATGAATGACCCCCCCCCTACACACACACACACACATACACACACACACACACTACAAAGGGGTTTTCTTTGCAAGTTCAATAAACAGAGGGTGATGAGGACACAAACCATTCTAATGATATAATTTGCTTTTGCTCTCTTCGTGCCACTATGTAACACTTGTGTCTGCACACCTGTTCATGTGGTGCCCTGTAAATTTACTCAGCAACAGAAAGAACATTATTGGACTGTTGGTGCATGTGCATGTGTGTGGGGGTTGTTGTGTATTAATTTGCCTTTGGTTCTACTTGTGTTTTCTTTATTTAAAAAAGTACATTTCGGGGCAGGTTTATTAATATTATCTTGTTAAACTACTAAAATAAAGCTTTAGACATAATGTGTCACATCACATTAGTGATTAGAGTCACAGGACATTAATAGGGCAGAATTTGTTATGATGTAGCTATTAAAGGGTGTGTGTGTGTGTATCATTCTGTGGCTTCTCAGATGCAACACATTAACGGTGGTGGGTTGAGCTGGCAGGTGGACTGTTGTAAGTAAGTAATCAATACAGAGATTTACGGCATAAAATTGAAAAATAACCCCTTTATGTATTCTGCAGTAATGCGGACAACAGTATGTTTTATCTGTTAAATGCATGTATAACCATACCACATTTTTTCTTTCTCCAAAACAGCAGTCGAAACAGTGTTTATAATATTTGAAAAGGCACTAACAGACTCAGACATGTTACACAATCTCAAACATGTTGTTGCGGGGTTTCGGATTGGACGCGGCCCCTTGGACTCTTGTAGTCATAGTGAGGGTGGTGTCATCTTACCAAAGCAAGATATATTTTTACACCATGTTGTTGCACAGTCTGCCTCTTCCTGCTGTCTGGCCTCCTTCTTAAAACTCCCTGGACAGGACCAGGTGGAAAATGGTGCTGCACATGTTAGAAGTGTGCGTCATAACTCTGTTTTGTTTGTGTGGTTGCGTGAGAGGGTCAGCGAAAGGATATTTTTCCAGAACCAATTAAGGTAGAAGTGCCATAGCAGGCAAATGATAGATATGACACATATCTTCACTATACCAAAGTGCTATAAAAGAAATAACAAACCATGTTTGGTATTACTGTGAGATTGAACATAGTTAATAAACAAAATAAATGAAATAATGGATTAAAGTAACTGGTGGCAAAGATTGCAGGAGAAATCATATTGTTTTTATCTTCATCCTGTCAAACATGATACACGGAGGTGGCTTGAACAATTTAGACAAACATATTATCAACAGTTTTAAAACCCCTTGACAGCAATTTGCAGTAACAGTGTTCCATCATGCTGATTTTACAACATAACTCCAGTGAAAATCACCACATATGGAGTTTGTTTCTGTGTACGCAGCAGAGATAAACAGTGGCAGAAGGATCAAGGTATTCCTTTGAGGCTGTTCCCCAACCATTACTCATCTTAATAATGCACAACAGAGCACATGCCTTGCATAACTCAAGTGCAAGTATGGAAACGTAACTGGGTGTTTTTGCGTCATAAGAAACTGAAAACGATTCAGCTGATCTCATCAGCTGAATCAGTGTCAGATTCTGACTCATTGCTATGAAAAGTGCAGTGAGTTATTTGTGCTGTCTTACAACAGCAACATTAATAGGAGGGGAAGGATGGCAAGGGAATACAATGAACTTTGGGTCACAAGGAA